GAAATAGGGCGGCCGCGCCGGGTGCCGGCGCATTGCGAGGCAGCGAGCGGCGGCGCCGGCCTCCTGCAAGCCCCATTCTTACCCCCTTTTTAAAAATATTATTTTTTTTTTTCTTCATCTTCATCCGCATATTAGCGGCGCAGCTCGCCTTCCGCCTTCTTCTTCTCGTCCTTCTTTTTTTTCCCCCCCGCCCCGGGACTTAGCGGCGACACTTTCTTGATTTATTTCCCCCTCCTGCCGGCTTTGTGCCCAGCGAGCCGCGCAAGGAAAGCGCCGGGCGAGGCGTCTCCTGCTGCAGCGACTGCAGCGGAAAAGCATCTTTATTTTTTTCTTCTCCTCCTTTTTATTTTATTATTATATATATTTTTTTCCTCCTTCCACAGTCTCCTCTCCTTTTTTTTTTTCCCCTCCTCCTCCATCCCCTCCGCACCGTACAAAGGCAGCAAGGTGGCCTCGCAGCGCAAAAAGAGCTTTGTTTTAAAAATGCCCATGGAGTTGACGCAGAGCCGCATCCAGAAGATCTGGCTGCCCAATGACAACCGGCCAGCCCTGCCCCGGCGCTGTGAGTAGGGGATAAACGGGGGGTCCTGTGGTGCCCCGTCCTGTCTGGGGAGTGGCGGGGGGGCTGCTTCTTCACTTCCGTTATTATTACTATTATTATTGTTAATTTTCCCCCGTGGAAAAATAATGGGTTTGCATCAGTAGCTTTTTGTCCCCCCCTCGCTCCAGCATCCTCGCAGCCGGCCCCGGGAGCGCCGTGGAAGGCGCCTGGCTCTGCAGATACCGCCCACCTGCCTCCATCCCTGGCTGGACCAGAGGATGCCGAGCTGCAGAGATGGGGTCTGACCTCAATTCCTCCCCCGCCGCTGCTTTTCCAGCCCACCCTCGTGCATCCGGGATTAAAGGAGCATGAGGCAGCTTGTTCACCTTGGCCCCGGGTGATGACTCGAGCTGGGATTTACTGAGGTGACCGTAGCTTTCCAGGGACTTTGGGAGCGGGCCAGCTTGAGGCATCACCAAAATCTCCTGCCAAACTGCTGTCCCCAGCCATGCCGTGCTTGGAATGGGGTGGGAAGCAGGTGGAAGGGAGACAGACAGTGCAAAAAAAATAAAATGTAGGCAGCATCCTGGTCTTGTAAACCTCTGTGCTTAAAAATAAGTAGAGGCGAGTGCTTGGGTTATCCAGGTGTTAGTGAAATACAAATTGTGAATGAGCTGGTGCTTTTAACTTGCCCAGTGCCCAAACTGACAGCCTGCCAGTGGTGCAGCTCCAGACTGTTCTCTCTGTAAAGCATCGCAGGATTCCGTGCAGATTTTTTGGTGGGTGAAGCATAGGGAAGATGGCCTTTTGCCATATGGAAATGGATGGAAGCTGCTTGGGCAGTTTGAATCACTCTTTCCAATGCTCTTATTTAACAGGCAACTGTGTTTTTAAAGTCATTTTGGACTTTTGTTTCTCTGAGCGGGAAAAGTTTCCACCTTGAGGGGTGAAATTTAAAAATAATAATTAAAAAAATAAATCCTGGCTGTTGGCCCCGTTAAGCTGCCAGCGTGCAAGATGTACCGTGGTTGTCACCCCATGGCCGTGGGTGACATGGGCAGCCAGATCTGTGTGCTCATCCCCCCTCGGATGCGCGGCACAAGATGCCTGGGAAAGGGCTGAACATCTGGGCTGCCCTAGGGCTTTGCTTTCAGCAGGGTACCGTGTCTCCTGGCTGGCGGAGCTGGCCTAATGCTTTGCAGCTGTATCCGTTTGATCCAATTTTTTTACTTATTTATTTATTTTTTCCCCCGAGGACCACACTGCCTAGCTTTGGAAGGAAACCCTCACGAGCGCAGCCCTTTCCGCTGTTTTTTAGCTACTTTATCCGCGTGGTTCTTGACCACGGGATTATTTAGGGGAGAAATCTCCCTTGCAACCGAGACTATCATGTCTTAACCTATGGAGCCCTGGGGGGTGGTTAATACCCTCGCGTGGCTCCTAATTAATTCCCACGGGGTGGAACGAGTTGCGTGGGGCCTCATTTATGGCCATCCAGCGTCTTCGCGCCATCAACATTTTCAGGTCTGCAAAGTTGGGAACAGGAGGGTTTCTGGGAGCTGATCTTAACTATTGGGCACGAGGCGTCACGGTGGCACCGCGGTGACAGCCAGCACACGCCGGGGATGCCATGCGGAGCCTTGAGCCGGGTGCCATCGGATGCCGTCGTCCAGGCTTCTAGTGAGCGGTCCATTGAATTCCCGCCGGGCTGCACGTCGCTCACGTAGGGGCCGCGAAGTCGAGTTGCTGCCGGCGCCGGCTTTATGGGCAGAGCCCTTCACCGGGACGAGGGGAGGGGGCTGGCGCCGTGGTGGGGGATGATGCCAGGGGAAACATTCCGGCTGCTTCCTGACCTCCAAATCGGCTAGGGAAAGACTTAAGATTATTGCCGGACGCATCCTAATGCATCCTTCAAGTGAATGGTAAAAACAATGAGTAAGGAAGTGCGTATTTTACCTAACTTGGCTTTTTTAGAGGCAAACTTCTTGCTCTTTTTTTCCCCTGCCATGGCGCAGATCCAGAGCAGCGTGCACATCTTTCAGCAGCTAGGAGCGATGAGCTGCTCCTGGCCACATCTTTGGAGCATCTTCCCTGACCTTGCCCTATGCAGACAGATGTCAGTGACAGGGAATGAATGTGCTTTGAAATCCTGGACTCCCTCCCAAAGGATGGGATGAATTGGGGCTTTGTGAAGTGCTCGGAGCTGAGTGCCGGCTCCTGTTTCATCTCTGCTGCAAAGTTTGCAGGAGGCGGGAAGCAGGAGGACGCGGTTTTGGGTGCGGGTGACCCATCCTGCCCAGGAGCCCTTCCCTGCTCCGACACTCCTCAGCAAGGAACAGGAGTTTTTCTCCTCTGTGCAGCTATTCCTCCTTTTTTTTCTTTCTTTTTTTTTTTTTTTCTCCTCCTTAATTAATGGTCCTGTGGTGCAAAAAAAAAGGCTGGTAGCTGGTCTTGGTTGAGGATGGGAGCAGCGGTCCGCCCTATGCAAGGAGGGCGAGAGTTTCCTCTCTGGAGGTGTTGCAAACCCCTTGGCATCCTGGCACGCAGAATAGAGGCTTGTCCCCAAAATCAGTGGCAGCTGCCACTGAGAACGGGCTTTTTTTTTTGGACTGAGACTTTTGAGGACTTTTTTGAGGAATGCAGAATATTTAATGCAAAAGAAAAACCAATGAAACTTCATTCATTCGTTTTCTCGTCTCTTGCCCGCTGAGCCGAGCAGCTGACGAGTGGCTTTTTCTCGTGGACCTCATTGCCTTAACTCCCTTAACTATGGCCCGAGTTTGGCTTTTTAGTTGCTGCTCGCATTTCTCCTTAGGAGGAGAGGGAAATTCCTTGTACTCCTTGTGCTTTGCAAAGTCCCCGTGCCCTCTGCTCCTTCCGTAGCCGTTTTGGGGGTCTTGGGGCTGGCTGGAGCACTGTCCACATGAGAAGCTCCCAGGAAGGATTCCCCGCACGTGGTACCAGGCGGCATGGAGGGTGGCTCTCCAATCTAAATGCCGTCAGATGTCATTAAGATCTGTCACATCTAAAGCACTTGGCTTTGCGCCCGCTTCCCAGCAACGTGACAGTCCTGGCTCCGGTGCTGAGAATATCTCGGGAACCGGGCAGGGAAACGGGGTAGGAAAATTCCCGGAATGCTCCATTTGGCAGTTTCCTTTGAACTGAAGGACAGAATTGGTTTCCTAAAGGATTTTTTAGGGATAGCAGCGATTTGCCTGGGCAACCTGGAAACAATTTTGTTTGCTTTTTGGCTGTGCATTTGGGTCACATAAGAGTGGAGTTTCTTTTTAACTTGCCATGCCATCATTGCACTGATGGCTCTGAAGAGATATATACATATATATCTATATATTCAGATTCATATATTCAGATTCATATATTCAGATTCATATATTCAGATTCATATATTCAGATTCATATATTCAGATTCATATATTCAGATTCATGTATATATATGTGTGTGTGTACATATATATATATTTTTTTCTATCACAGCTCTTTGATATAGAATCGTCTTTAACTCAGAGGTGGGGAGGGAGAAGCTTAAAGCAGTTTTAGGCAAAATTAGAGATAAATTGCTTGTACATATCTGCTTTTAAATGTTCTTGATTCTGCGGCTCACTCATAGTGTTATGAACCTGTATGTCTTCAGAAAAGCGGTCGGTTGCATTTGCTTATGCATTAGCTTAAAAGCTAGCAAAGGTTCTGGAACTTGTTCTCTGAGGGTTAAGTTCTCAATTTTGCAGAGCAGTGCGGGTCTTTTTTTTTTTTTTTAATGAAATCAGCTAAATTGTATGAAGAAGATGTTGCAGAAGATGTTGCATTTACCTTGATTTTTGCAGGTGGGAAAACTGAGGCGCAGTGGTTCTTCATGGAGAGTTGAGTTCTTGCTCATGTTTCAGCTATCAGGGGCCCCTCTCTTGGCTTAGCTTCCAGGCTGTGACTTCCACACCTGGTCTAGGTGGCTCTAGGGTACATTTTGGTCATTGTGGCTTAGTGCCTCAATACTAAGTGGCCATAGACCTGGTTGTCATCCATCCCTGCTGCGACACGTCCATTCAGCAAATACCATAGTAAAAATGAGTTGGTGGGTTCACCTGTTTGGTTATCCTGCTCGTGTATGTGCATATGAGGAGCACTTGTTTTTCCCTCAGCCTTCCCACTTGGATCAGCAGCAAGTGCTTTGCAGGATTGATGCCAAATGAGTTGGTGGATTAGTGGCTATTTGTGTTGTTTTCTGCTCTTTCTCGTAGCCTGTGGGCCGCAGCTTGCCAACTCGCCCACCGTGATAGTGATGGTTGGCCTTCCAGCCCGTGGGAAGACCTACATCTCCAAGAAGCTTACTCGCTACCTCAACTGGATCGGTGTCCCCACGAAAGGTGAGGCCTTTGGGGTAGAGCAGCCATGGGGGCAGTTTTGCAAAGCTCATGCTGACCAGGTGTCTATGTCCTCATGTCCCTTCTGCTGCAGCAGGTATTTCTTTTTCACATGGAAACCAAAGGCTGGGCTTTCTCTCCAAGAATGTCTTTTCTTGGTGTGTGGTTGGAAAGCTTCATCCACGGGAGATGTTGTGGCTGAAAATTGTGATGTTCAGACCTCCATGCCTGGGCTATGAACGCCTCGCCAAGGCATTGCCCTGGGCTGTGGCTTGCAGGGTTGACATTTCCCATACGGGCCAAGACAAGTGGGGGACTCCTGGTTGCCTCTCGCCCATGATGGGAAATGTCTGACCAAGGTCTTGGCTTTGACATTCTCTGCTTTTTCCGTGCAGTTTTCAACGTGGGAGAGTATCGCCGTGAGGCAGTGAAGCACTACAGCTCCTACGACTTCTTCCGCCCTGACAACGAGGAGGCCATGAAAGTCAGGAGGTAAATGTGGGGACCTGGGGACTGATCAGGTGGTAAAGCCCAGGGCCGGCAGCGGCTTTTCCCCAAAGATGTACTGGATGTAAAGGCTGGGGCTGAGATCTCCTTGCCTCTCTGCGTGCTGGTGGCCACGAGCATCTTGGAGGGTATGGGGAACATCACGCAGACGTCACCTTTTCTTGCAGGCAATGCGCCCTTGCTGCCTTACGGGATGTCAAGCTGTACCTGACAGAGGAGGCTGGCCAGATTGCGGTGAGTTTGGAGGAGTGCTTTGCTGTGCTTTGAAGAGATTCTTGGTTCCCGCACAGTTTGTGCTACCTCCAGCTACGCTGCCAGGAGGAAAAGGGGTTCCCTGGGCACTTGCCTGGGCTTTTTGCACTGCATTTCACACTGTTAATGTCACAGGTGCATTTTGTTTTAAAACCCAAAACAAGCTGTGAATCTTTTGTGAACTGAAAAACAATTTCTTGTTTCCCATCCACTTTTCTTGCTCCATATGCCCATGTATGTCAAAATATTTCTTCCTTCTGAAGCCCAGCTTTAATAGGCAAACGATCTGGTGCCTCCCATCTGTTTCTCAGGGACTATTTTAGTGTCTCTGCTTCTCCCTCTGTATTCTTGGGCTGCATTTCACAGGCATGTGCTCTCAGGCCCTCACATTTGCCTGCTGGTTTCCCCCAGTAGCTTCTGAGTTCGCTGGCCCGGTTGAGCTGGACTGAACGGAAAGGTGGGGTTCCCAAGGAGATACAGTTTTCATGACTTTCTTGCTGCTGTTATTGAGGGAGAAAACTGTGAGCTCAGATCTTGTAAAACACCTGCCGATCCACCTAGATTTAGATTGAGGAGGGATTTGGGGGGAAAACCTGGCATTCTTAGCGCTAACCCAAATATATGTGTTTCTAAAGGTTTTTGATGCCACCAATACAACACGGGAAAGGCGTGGGATGATCTTGAATTTTGCCAAAGAAAATGGATTCAAGGTTGGTACCAGCAGGCTGCCACCAATGTTGCAGAGTCCCCACTAGCGTATTGGTGCCCTCTCTTCGCAGTACCATAATGTCCTCACGATGCTCCTGTGCAAGAGGGAGTTCTGTTTCCCTGTTGGCTTGGGCACAGATGTAAAATACTTCCCTCATTCAAGACCTAAACCCTCGGAGAAGGAAAGGGAAAGGAGTTGGATGGTGGGGAATAGTGGGAGAGCTCTGTGGGTGGCTGGTTTGAGTGAGGAGCTGCCTGAATGCTGAAAACCTTATTTCTGGTCTTCAGGTGGGTTTTGCTTTGCTTTGTAGGTTTTCTTCATTGAGTCCGTCTGCAATGATCCCACTGTAGTAGCTACCAATGTCATGGTAAGTGTGGAAACATTATTGAACATTATTGAGGAGGCTTTTATCTTATGATTTACTTCATCTGCAATGAAAAAAAGAGCTCATCTATAGCTTAGACATATAGCTTAGCATCAAGGAAAGAAATGCATGCCGTTGACTTTAGAAAACAGAAAGTCATGATTTTTTGAAGCAACAAGTGTGGTTAGGGGGTTTAAGTCCCATTGGGGAACGGTCAGTCTTAGTGTCTTCAGCCACATGGTGTTTGAAAATTATTTGGGGTCTGCCTGGAGAAGAACAGCAGCCAGTCTTTGAGGTTTCTTGCCACTAGCTAAAAATTTGGCAGGGAAACCAACATAAAACATCACTTTGCAGACCCCTTTGGGAGATGCTGGATCTCTGATCTCCTATCATCAGCAAAGACACTTTGCCTGGTAGACTTGGCTAGGGCAGATAGAATCTGGTTGTTCTGTTTAGTTGTAACTGACCTTAATGAAAGTCATTTTCTCCATTGGGCTTTGTGATCTAGCCTTATCTCCAGCTGCATGTCTGAACTTTGAGAGTTGCTCAGTTTTGATATATCTTTCCTCTGCTTTCTCTGAAATGATCTGCAGCTGGATTTTCGCAGGGTTTAATCCATTTCTTTGAGAGAGACTAGTGCTTGAAGGGAGAGAGAATGAACTACTAGCTGTGTGTAGGCTTCTGCTTCCCAGGGTGCTGCAATCAAAGGATGTTTTTAGTGCTGGGAACAGTGCAGAAAATACCCTTGTAGGCCTGGGGCAGTGCTGCCCACATCACTTGGTTGTGTTATTCCACTGGCATTTGGATTGCTTATGAAGTTACTAATGTGTAATGCTGCTGCTCCACCCCAAATCTCGAGCAAAAACAACCTGTTGAAGTAGTTGAGGCAGAGCTTTTCCCGGATTCTGGAGATTCTTGTTGCTCGTTTCTAGTATAGTTAGCTTTAAAGCAAATACTCAACAGAAAGAGATCAAATACAGTTGTTCCTGCTACTTCAGACGGGAAACTGAGATACAGCCAGGTTGCAGTGACTTGCAAGAGATTCGCTCATCTTGTGCTTAGCTTTGTGTTTCCTTATCCATCTCACTACAAGTGATGTAAAGAGGCTTAGCAGGTAGCTGCAACTTGGCCCAGCTTTGAAACCTGATATTTGCATAGCAGGATTGTTGCAAGCCGCAGACAGGGCATTTTGGAAGTCTTCCTAACGTCTCCTTTTGGTGTGTTTTCTCCCTCACTGCAGGAAGTGAAGTTGTCCAGCCCAGATTACCGGGACTGTAATTCGACCGATGCCATGGAGGACTTTATGAAGAGAATCAATTGTTACCAGGCCAGCTACCAGCCACTTGACCCGGATGACTATGATCGGTAAGAAACTTTGCTGACTTCCAAACAGGCTGGCTTTAAGGCCCGTTTGTCTCAAGGAAGCAGCGGTGAAGTATGGAGCTACATTTCACTTCCTATTTAAGTACGTGACTATGTTAGAGTAACGTCTGAGCCAAATCTCACTGTAAACTCAGGCTTCTTTCTCCAGAACTTGAGAACACTATATGCAGTTTTCGCTAGCCCTATATCCAGGAGCCAGGTGTCCAAATCTTCCCAGGGTCTTCTGGGCCCAGAAATGATGGTTTTGACTTGTTTGCCTGTGCAGTTGATCCTGGTCCTTCTCAGGAGATGCTGCCTCATCCCTCTTTCAAAGTACCTTCCTACCAGTCTTTTTTCATCCTCTTTACTGCTGCAAGAAGAAGTGGCAATTGCAGTGGTGTTACTTAGCCCTCTGTGAATTGCCATTGCCTCTTGGCTTCCCATTTAAAATAGTCTGCAGGAAATCCTTTGATATCGTTGTGATATTGATTGAAGTCTCACAAGACCATTTCCTAAGAAAGGTGTTTCCTCCTTTCTATTTTTCTCCTTTCACATCTCCCTAACTCTTGCTGCCCTTTCCCTAGGGAACTTTCTCTCATCAAAGTCATCGATGTTGGCCGGCGGTTCCTGGTCAACAGGGTTCAGGATCATATCCAGAGCAGGATCGTTTACTACCTAATGAACATCCATGTCCAGCCTCGCACCATTTATCTATGTCGGCACGGTGAAAGCGAGTTCAACCTCAAGGGGAAGATTGGAGGTGACTCGGGGCTCTCCAACAGGGGTAAAAAGGTAAGGAGAAAGGGACTAGCTCCCTGTGGGTTCTAGGAGAGATTTGATTGTAGGAGATGATGTGCTTTGGGCTAAGGGTATCTTTGACATCTGGGGTTTTCAGAAGGTTGTCTGCAGGACTGGCCAAATTTGGGCTTGAGCCTGGCCTCAGATTGAGACTTTCCAGCCATTCACGTTGTATTAACTGATCTCTGCCATCCTCTCTAATCTCTTACTCTGGTGATCACTCCTTAAACTCTTTGCTGCTATGAGGATCTGTATTTTTTTTTTTGACTGACTGACCAGGGCCTCATCACAACTTTCATGGACACTCAGCCCTCACTTGACATCCCCCTCAGTAAGCTAGGCTCATGCAAGCAGCATCTTTTGTTGAAATATCACCTTCTCATCAGTCTGTAGTATGCCAACTTGTTTAACCAGGTGTTGCTCCAGTACTGCTGGAACAACTGTGCCTCCCACTGGTTCTGGGAAATGCAGCAGCAGGACTTGCTCCAAAACCAAGGAATATACATACCCCTGACCCAATCAACTCAAGTTTTTCCTGAACTCAGCCCATCATAGCATAGTGTGGACATGTTAAGCCCAGATGACAGGTGATAGTGAGAAAGTGTGTGGCCCTTGATGATCCATTTGCGTGAGGCTGCAATGCACCTTGCAGCATGAGGCCAATACATTTGGAAAGTATAGAGGTCTTGGAGAGGAAACCAGTGGAGGGATCACTTGCTGGGATGGAGGGAGGAAGGCCCAGTGGGAAGTTGTGGATTGAGAATCAACCTCTTCTTTGTATCCCACAGTTTGCATTGGCACTGAACAAGTTTGTTGAAGAACAGAACCTAAAGGACCTCAAAGTCTGGACCAGCCAGCTAAAGAGGACAATACAGACAGCAGAAGCTCTCCAACTGCCCTATGAGCAGTGGAAGGCACTCAATGAAATAGATGCTGTAAGCACCTTTGATTTCATTAGGAATAGATATCTTGCAATTTGGGGTTTGGCGGAGTGAGTGAGAGCACTTTATTTTTGCCTAAATTCCTCCATCTGCAAGGAGAAGGGAAAGGGGAAGGGAATATTTCCTTCTCCAGTACCTGCAATTTGGCTTCTGGTTGTAGCTCTGTCATATGCAGATACTCTAAGATTTTGGCTATAATGATTTCTGCTTAGCACTGCTCTATTGCTGAACACTGAGAGGGTTAAAGGCAGTTTGCATTGGAGAAGGGTTGAATGCTGGGTGGCTCAGCAGCAGTTGATCTGAACGTGGTCAGTAACCTCAAAGATGTTCTGTCCTGGCAGGGTGTTTGTGAAGAAATGACGTACGAAGAAATCAAGGAGCAGCATCCAGAGGAATTTGTTTTACGTGATCAGGATAAATACTACTACCGTTATCCTTCTGGAGAGGTAGGTCTGCAAGGAAACATTTGGAAGTGTGACTTTAACTTAAAATATGGCCTTCTTGTTTTCACCCTGTCCCCTATATCTAGATGATGGGTGGTAGAGAAAGAGGTGCTCTGAGAAATTAGAGTTAAGAAAGATCAAGACTCCCCTTTGTCTTTTGTTTTGAGCTCATATGAGATAATGGAAGGGGAAGATATCATTAAGAAATGCACCACTTAACAGGACGGCCCATGGACTTCATAAAAAAATCAGTTGGAAGGGTCCCCTGGAGGTTTCTAGTGCACTGAAATTGCTGTGTTGCCCCCGATTTTGTTTTCTTTCATTCCAGAGGAGTGATTTTTAGCCCTGCTCTTTGTCATTTGCTGAAGGTTGATTGAGATATTTCCATTTGTTCCTGACATGAGAAATATAGTGTGCTTTGCGATGTGAATTAGTGAGGTGTTAATTGGCAGTTCTGAATGATACCCTAGGTTGTGTGTTTGGGCTTTTATCACTGAATTAAAAGCTGTATAGCTATTCAGGGAAAAATAATGTTTGGAGACGTCCTAGAGGCAGTGTTCTAAACAGGAGAAAGTCTAGGGAAGACTGACACTGACTTTGGGCATCTATGGTTTTTATGTCTGAAGCCTTGGTACAGTTACCTGCCTTAAGAGACTCTTCAGTGGCATAGACATGAATGGCTTATTTCTGCTACAACTGAAGAAATAGTTATATACCAGAGTGGCCCAAAATCAAGGCTCTGAATTTTGTTCATTTTTAGCAGTAACTACATTGGCTTAATGTAGTCAGAAGGATGAAATTGATAGATTTTCAGGACAATAACTATTATTTCCTGTAAGCACTTCAATTTCCTGATTTTTTTTTTTTTTTATATTCCTATCTTTTTTTTTTTTCTCAGTCCTACCAAGATCTAGTGCAGCGACTAGAGCCAGTCATCATGGAGCTGGAGAGACAAGAGAATGTCCTTGTGGTCTGTCACCAGGCTGTCATGCGCTGTCTCCTGGCTTACTTCCTTGACAAGAGTGCAGGTGAGCTCCCTTTACCCAGGCAGGAGGATGGTCCCATTGGTGGGTAGGGGACAGGTCTTGAGGATGCTCTGTGTGCATGCCTGTACAGGGCCTGGAGCATGCATCTCTTCTTGACATGGAGGAGCTATAGATGCTGAAAAGGAAGGGGTCTGAGCCTCCTGTTGGAGGAAGGATGGGATAACCTACCTGCTTTGGTCTTTCTGCAGATGAAATGCCCTACCTGAAATGCCCCCTTCACACAGTGCTGAAGCTGACCCCAGTAGCTTATGGTAAGTGGGCATTTCTCCTTGTCATGTTGTGGTACTTGTCTTGTCCCTCATATCTGAATCTAAGCTGTCTCTGGGAGATTGGCAGGTGTCTGGGTTTGAGCATCTCATGGCGTCTGATGACAGTGGAATTGCTAATGCTTGTTCTGTCTCCATGTGCTCCCTTTCTCAGGATGCCGGGTAGAGTCCATCTCTCTGAATGTTGAAGCTGTGAACACCCACAGAGAACGGTCAGAGGTGAGTGTTGCTCTTCCTCAACCACATGCCTTGGTCAGCCTTTTTCCCCCTATGGTCACATGGCAGTGAGGACTCCTTGGGAGTGGCTGTGGAGGAGAACTGCTTAGCTAGAGGATCAGAAGTGCCACTAGAGAACTGGAGCATCAGATGGGGTTTCATCCCAGAAAGATGGAGCTGATAAAGTATTTTATGGGGAAAAAGGATGGATGCATGTGCCTTCCAGGTGTGTTGTTCAAATTAAAGCTGACCCGTGTCCCATGGAAAGGTTTTTGACTCGACAGTCAAAGGTCTGTTCAGTCATCCACTCTTTCAAGTGGGCTTGGAGCCATGGATAGAGAAGGTGACTTCTCTGAGGTCTTCCAGCAGACTAGCAGTGTCCAGGACCAGCATCCCACTAAAGTATTTGTCCCATTATTATTATTATTATTTTTTATTATTATTATTATCATCCTCCTCTCTCAACCATGCTTTTGCGTGGTTCCCTCAGTGCCAACCTGCAGGCTGAAGGGTGGTGTTGGAAGGAGACCCCTCATGCTTGCATGGCGCCGAGGAAGGGGACAAGACCCTCAGTAATGTAGAGTCCATACTCTGGGCATGATTGCCACAAGCTCTGAGGGCCAGAGCAGGGGACATCTCCATGGTGATTGGGCTGAGAGGTCACCAACAACATGGAACTGTAGGAAGAGTGCTGGGAGCTGAGGAAAGACATGTGGCTCTGGGGGCTGCATTGGCAGGGCTGGTGTCCCTCAGGTTGAGATGCAGCAGCGACAAAATGCTGTTCCCTTGCTGGCATTTGTGTGGTAGTGGTGTGTGCCCACTTGGGTGGTGGGTGGTCAGACCTGTCCCCATTTTGGGGCAACTTCTTTTCTTTGCTTGCCTACCTCAGTGGGTGGTAGCATCTCAGTTGCTTCTCCTTCCTCATGGAGGAAGCCAGTCATTCCTCCTATTGTTTTGGCCATCTGCTCCTTCCTTCCCTGACAGAGCTCGGGGAGTCAGGAGACCCACGTGGTGCGGTTAGGATGGAGCTAGACATGTGCAAAGCGCTTTAGTTCCTCCGCTTGGCTTTGAAGGCACTGCTCCTCCATCGCTTGAGCTTGTGGTACCAACCCTGGCTGCTCTGTCCTATTTCCCAAGTCCTTCTTGCTAGCCTGGACTGGCTCATCTCTCCTGTTCTTGCTTTCACATGTCTCCCCGGGTCAGAAGGAATAGCTTGAGGAGGAGACTGAGGGGCACCTCTTGCTCTAGTCTCTCTGTCATGCAAAGTCATGGCCTTTTACTATTACTACTTTTTTAAGTAATATGTATTTTTTTTCTTTTTTTGTGAGCAGAGGATAAAGAGAGGAAAAAATCCATCTCATTCTGAGTTCAGGGCCTTTTTTGTCCCCTCCCCTTCTTGAGAAATCACGCTGCATCCTTGAACTTTCTCATCATTCCTTTTTTTTGTTCAGAGCCTTTCAGTGCATCCAAGTTACCCTTTGCACGTCGACAGTGATTGTGGGGGAAAAGTAGAGGCTGCTTTAAAGAGAAAACAACCAGAAAAATAGAAAAATGCTTTTTTTTCCCTTTAACTGTCGCCTTCTTCCCTTTTCTTTATTTTTTATTTATTTATTTTTTTTCTTTGTCTCACTCTAATTTAGGAAGCAAAGAAGGGACCTAACCCGCTCATGAGACGTAATAGCGTTACCCCTCTAGCAAGCCCAGAGCCCACCAAAAAACCTCGCATCAACAGCTTTGAGGAGCATGTGGCTGTTTCTTCCACCCTGCCAGGCTGTGTTCCTCAGGAAGTGTCCACGCAGATGCCGGGACAAGTTAGTTGAACTTTTTTTTTTTTTTTTTTTTTTTTTTTTTTTTTTTTTTTTCTTGTCACTTATTGTTTGTCGTCTTCCTCCTGTCGCTCTTTCCGGGGAACCGCTTTCACTTTGTCTCCATCTGTGCTGCTGCTTCTGAGATGCATCAATCGTAGTGGCTCCCGTGGCTGCTGTCCTCCCACTGGGCTGGCTTCAGGAGCACCGAGTGAATTGGCACTGTTGATCCTCTCTTGGGTTTGGAAAGCGTTGCATAGTCCCAAAACCCTGGGCTGAATTGACTGCCTTAATTTGAAAGGTGCCTCTGCATCCCTGTCTGGCCTTTGGAGTATCAGTCTCGGGGGAATTTCTCCCCTGGAGCAGGCAGGACCAAAGGTTTTGCCCTGGCTCTTCTCCAGCCCCAGACCTAGGTATTGCAAAGTAGTCGATATTCTTGCACTTTGCTCAAGAAGGAGCTGGCCAGGACCCATCTTTGCATGGAGGTGTCTCCTCCTTCATGGGGTACTAGGCAAAATGAAGCAAAAAATGAGCAGCAGCTCTCTTTGCTAGCGCTAAGCACAGTCACTTGTCACCTCCTATGGCCCCAGGTGAAGTTTCTGTGGGCAGCTATCCATTAGGCCAAATGGGCCAAATAACAGGCTCTGGGTTTGCTAGGCAGCTTGTTGGGAGCCAGCTGCTCCTTGCAGAATCTGCTTGTGTGTCCTCTCCTCTCCTGACCATTTTTGAAGAGATGTGGCCCAAACTTTTAATTGGTGCCCATTTCTCCAGGAACAAAACACTCTTCCCTTTCCTAGCTGAGAAGCTGGGACGATACCTCTAAAGGTCTTCTGAGCAGCTTTAGCAATTTACATGGTGCTGCCCTTCCCACTAGCTGCTTATTGGATCTTGCTGTCTCACCTGCCCCTTCAAGTGTTTGTGTTGTCTGATGTCTTCTTACCCTCTCCTTCGCCAGGCTTCTGGTCAGGTTAAGAAGGATACTGTGCTCTTTAGAGCTTCTCTAATCTGATTGAGCATTGTCCACTCTGCTTGGTGGCAGTCTTGCATTAACATTTCCATTCTGGCAAGCACTAAACGGAACAGCTTGTTGGTTTCTTGGCTTTGGGGTACTCTACTTGGGCTGGTGGAGTCTTCTAACTAACCCTCCACTGGCTTAGGTTTTGGAAGTGTTCTTTGCTCAGATGTCCCACGCAGACCTCAAATCTCCATTGCCCTTTCTCATGCTGCGTTACTGACGCCTCTTTCCATTCTCTCTGTCTCTTCACAGCCTTTTCTAGGGAAGGCATGCCTGTAAGTACCTCTTTGAGTCTTATCCCCCTCTCACCTGCTTTCCATATCTTGCCATCCCACTGGTTATTTTGTTGTGGCTGTGAAATTGGGCCGGGGCATGGACTTTGAGTTAATGCATCTGTGTGCAAGAGTGGAATTTGGATATGCCTTGCTTTTATTTCAGCACCTGTCAGGCTTTTATTTCCTGTATGAGAGCAAGAGTGCATTTTTGGAGTTGAACTGACCTTGAGTCCTTGCATCTGTGGTTCCCCAAAACTGGGTTTGGGGAACAGTCTGCCTACACTTGGGCAGACTGGACACAAGGATGTTGTCCTTCTCTCTAGGTCTTCCTAGCAGGCAAGAAGCTTTGAGCATTTAATGCACAAGTTAGGAGTGGTCAAGGCTTAAGCAGGTTGGATCAGTGCTGTTAAATCCTTGGGCGAATAGGAACAGGACAGATGAGTAAATCTGGAGCCTTCTGACTTTATTCATGCTACATCATTAAGCTGAGATAGTAGCAGCCCTTGACATGCTCAAATGTCTTCTCAAAGGTCAAGGAGATCTGCTTTTTTTTTCTGATTTGATCACAGACTATGAGCAAAGTTAATAGGCACTGGCTGCTTGTCAGCAGTCTGCTGGGTTTGAGCTGAGGATGAGACAGTGCCTGGGGGTCGGTTTGCCCTCCATAGACTGGTTTACATCAGCCAACATGCATGTCTGTCCTGTTCCATCTTGTGGGCAGAGGACTGGAAGGTCTTCTGTTAACCAGCTGGACCATAACTTGATCCTGCTTGCATGTATCGGCTGATGAACCTCACATTTCTTCCCTTTTTGGTGTAAATCATGTAGGGAAAAGAGAACTTAGAAATATCAGACTGGATTTTGTTCACAGATACACTGGGGAAGAGCAACCTGCTGCTAACAAGCAACTGCAGAAGTTGAGTTGCTCAGCATGGCATGCATGCCTGCTGTCCTCCCTGTACTGCTTTTAAGTGCCAGAACTTGTGATGAAATTTTGAGTTTTCTTGGGTTCCTTGAAGGTGCTGTTTCTTCATCTCCCACTCTGTTTTGGTGGGTCACTAAAAGCCTTCTCCAGGTTTCCAGCCTTTGGGAGGTATTTGCATTACAGTTGGTCAGCAGAAGAGCTGCTGGAGCAGGTTGTGATGACTCCATGTCCCAGATGTAGGCCTGGAGGAGCGAGCTTAAAATGCAACTCTTGGGGCCTTGCCTCTACCCACCTAGCCCTGGATTTAGAGGCAGGTTCAGAGGGAGCCAGGAAGAACCCTCCAACCAAAGGGAGTCAGAAGTGACCTTCCCTTCCAGTTAGCACAAAAGCTGCCCTGGGGGGTTGTAGTTGTGCTGCACTGGCTTGTCAGCAAAACCCTGCAGAGCTTGGGGACATGCAAAAGGCCTCCTGGCTGTGGGCTCAGGCCCGTGGGGAGCTGGTGGCTGAGCCTGGCTGGGCTGTGGGACTAGCTATTGTGATGGGACCTCTTCCTTGTGCTTGGTCTGCGACCCAAAGCACATTTATTTAGTTATTTATTTACCACGATCCAATTCACAGTCTCTCCTCCTCCCTTCTCTCCCCCTTTTTCTTGCCTTTGCTTTCCATGCTTAAAGACGACCCGTTTGTCACTTTCTCAAAGTTTTCTCTTTACTAATATTTCCAAGGTAAATGGCTGTGGTGCATGTGGCTTTCCTAATCCTGACTCTGTCTCTGTAAATAACAGGGAGCAGCTCAGCCCTCTGTCTTGTAGCCTGTTTTGTGGGTCCAGCTGCCCATCCCTGTTGCTTGTAGGAGGCAATTTAGATAATTTAAAAATACATATATATAGTGTAGAGAAGCATTCCTAGCCTCTTTTCCACCCCTGCTTTCCTGTAGCTTTGTTAAATTCGGAGATGTCTTGATTGGTTATGGTGACTCCTTGGTCTTCTCATATTGTGGGTGCATCCCCTTCTGACTGCTGCTTTCTGTGCCTGCTTGCTTTTTAGCTTGCTGTCTCTGCCTTTTTTTTTTTTTCTTTTTTTCTTCTTCTTCTTCTTTTTTTTTTGTGGGTTTTGAGGCTTGCAGCTTTGCCATGCATTTGTCCTGATTGGGTGCCCTGATGCTGTGGGAACCAGTTGCAGAGGGGTGTGGGCATTTTTGGAGAGGGGGGTTTTCCATGCAGCAGTGGGGGCACCGAAGAGCGTCCCAAGGAGATGGTCAAGGATGGTGACCTCTTCTTTGGCATACCAGGGGACTTGATTTTTAGCCCAGTTTTCAGGAGTTTTGGGTTGTGCTGAGTTCCTGCCCTTCAGTTAAACACAGCTGGTGCATAGGGAGCCAGCCAAGGAGGTCCCCAACACCTCCTTGGCCAAACTCTCCGTTCTTCTCCTCCAGTGGATGGTGTCCTCTCCCTCCATGGCCAATGCTTTTGTAGTGCCCTGTGCTGTGGCTTTCTGTCTTTCTTTTTATACACACATGGAAAGATGCATCTGGGGGTCCATGTGACACCTGCATGATGCTCAGCCCGACCTCTCTTGTGTCCTCCTTGCAGAACATGAACAACTCGCAGAAGCTGTCGTGATGCGGTCCCGAGCCCAGCAGCGACGCCGGCTCCCATCCCATCGTCATTTCTGCAGCTTGCTTGTAACCTGCTCTTCCTTGGCCACAGCTGCTTCCACCCCCAAAACTCGGTCACCAGCGAGCAGGGCCACCGAGCGACGGGAGGAGGAGGAGGAGGAGGATGCTCCAGGGCCGAAGGCGGATTCATCACCTGAGGCCAGGGCTTGGCGCCGCTCTCCTCTCCAGTGCGCTGTTGTAGCAAGCTGTAAAGTGCTTCTCATGCAAGGGAGGTTTCCAGACTTAATTTTCATGCGTAGGCATTTTTTTTCCCTTTTTCTTCTTTTGATGTTTTTTTTTGTATAGATGATTGGTACTGATCCATCTCACGTAGAGTTGTATATACATGAATAGGGCAGGCTTAGCCGAGAAAGATGGGGTTGGGGGGACAAAGGGGTTTCTAATTTTCTTTTTTATTATTGTTATTATTATTGATGTTATTATTGTTATTATTTTCTAAGAAGGCCCCCAAAGCACTGTGCTGTGGTCCTTTCTGCTGCAGCCCATCACACGCACACATCTGGTCTCAACAGTGCACGCACAATGCATGCAAGGAGGGAGACTTGCAAGGAAGGATGTCTCATGAAATCCTTCAAAGCAAAAACTGCTGGTTTTAACCAAAAAAAAAAAAAATTAGAAATTCAGGGGGTCTTTGGAGCTCCATAAGATAGGCTGAACTGGGTGCGTGCTGCAGATGTGCAGGTCTCTCAGAGGCGACCACAGGTCTTGCTGAGGTGCAGAAGTTCACATGTGGCTACAAAGAGCCACGCCAAGAGACACTTACTTATTCATGACTTTTTTTTTTCTTTTTGATTTAATATGTGTACACGCACGTGCGTGTTTGCGGATATGTGTGCACCTGGAAAGCGCTTGGTTTTTGCACTTTATTTGTGAAAGGAGTGTAACTATTTTATTTTTTCTTTTCTTGCTTTTTCTTTTTCCCCCCAAGACTTGCCCTTTTTTGCTGGGGAAGCCTAGCCACTGCCTTGTTTTTTGGGGCTGCAAATCTGAGATGTTGGCAAAGCAGCTGTTGCGGTGGCAGGTGCTGGCTTAGGGACTTGCTGTCACAATAACCAGCTTCCAGGGGGTTTTCCCGGCACATTCTCAACAGCCCATCCCAGGCCACAAGATGAAGGGTTAAAAATGCCAATTAACCACTACCATTTTGTGCAAAAGTCTGTGGACGCTGCTGCTTTTTTTCTTTTTTTTTTTTTTCCCTTTTTTTAGGGCTTTTTTTCCCCCCCTTTTTAGCAAAGGGGAACCGCAGTGCCTCCTGTACAGATGAAAAAAATAATATATATTTTTTTTCCTTTACATTTATTTTTATTCTTTCCCTCCTTTCTCAATACCTGCCTTGAAGGCAGGCTCCTCTGGGTGTGCTGCGTGTGTTTGACACTTTTGCTCTTCTGATTTTGGTCCCCTCCTGCCTACTCCCCAAATTTGAGACTGGTTTATGTTTCGGGAGGGCAAGTCCCTTGTCTCCCTGGCCCATTTCCAGGGGAGTTTATCTTTCTCCTTCTGCCATGAAAAGATAAGGTGGCAAACGAGAGCACATGATGTCCGGCTGCCCCACAATCAATCCTGTAAACATGTCATTCTGCAGACGCTTCCCCCCCCCCCCCCCAATGTATTTGGGTGTGTGTGTGTGTATATATATGCATATACATATATATATATATATATATATATAAAAGCTGCCGCCACCAACAAAAAAAGGTGTAATGACACAAAAAGTCATTTATTTCTGTGGGAATTATCTAAGCCTTGGTAGGTCCTTTTAAAAAAAAAAGGAGAAAAAAAGAAAGCAAAATGGGAATTTTGTTGGGTTTTCAGGCAAAACTGGTCTCCGCGCAGCAAAGGTTCTCTCATGCTGTGGGGTCATGAAAAGCACTAGGAAATTTGCTGCCTGTCGGATTTTGGTTAACCCAAGTCAAGGAGCTGGTGACGAGAGGGGACTTGTCGAACCACACCAATGATTTCTTTCTCTTTATTTTGTTTTCCTTTATGATACTTGAATTTATTTTTTTATGGTCTTTTTTTTTGTTTTTTGATAGCAAAGCACCGTTTATTTATTTAATGTGTACTGCAAAGCCAGGATGGAGAGAAGGTTAGTTACTTGGGGGGATTTTTTTTTTTTATTTTATTTTTGACTTGTGGTACGTTAACTGTCATGTATATACGTCTGGAATAATTGCCTGATATAAAGCTGTGCCAGCTTAAAAACAGGGTATGCCTTTCAGAAATTTGTATATTTTGCAGTTGCTGGACCAATAAAATCTCTTGTTGAAATACAGATGTGATTTGGGTCTTCCTTTGCCATTGGGAATCATGCTCTTAGAAATCCTTTTTTTTTCCATATGGAGTTAAAGTAATTTTAAGGCTGGAGAACAACTTGCAACAGTGCAAAACGGGTACATTTGTTAAAGGAGGACTTTGTTAGCAAGATGCTGTTTCCTTCTTGAACAGCGGGGACAAAAAGCTCTGGACAGTCCTAAAAAGAGTATTGGCATTACTATGGCTTTGTAGCCATGAAGAGCTCAATAGTGGTATTTAGGGATGTGATTCATCAGACCTACTTCCACACTGACTTAGGGCAAGCGGAGGGTGCCCCAAACCCTACAGACCAGGTCACTGAGGAGAATAAAGGAAGCCCAAGGTCATGGTCTGGGATACGTCCTCGAGGCTGTGAGCTAGCCAGGATTTGCCATCTCTTCAGACCTGGTACAGTTCTTGCAGTCAAATACTTGCTTAAAATACTCCAGTGTTAAATGAAGCAGAAGGGCTGAGCCTGAGCTGTCTCCTGAGATCACGGTTGTCTTTGCCCCAAAGGCAGGAAAACAACAGATGTGTCCCTGAGTGGAAACTGTCAAATTTGCTGTGAAAGCTGCACTTTTTTTTTTTTTTTTTTTTCCCCCCTTCAGGCTCCTGGAGAAAATAGAGAGGGAGGATGTGAAGAAAAGGTCATTTGGACAAGATACTCTTATGTGAGCCATGGACAGTCTCCCTTGGGTTGGTGCTTCCCATAGGGTTGGAGGCTTATCCTCTTTAGGTAGTTGGACCTCTGAAAGCTGGCTAGTACTAAAAGAGGGTGGAAAAAAACCCATAGTTCTGGACTTTGTCATCTTCAGGCCCAGCTCAAGCTGTTTTCTGAAAGCTGATGCAATGCAACCCCTGTCCTATTCCTATTCCACTTCAGCTTTGATTTGCATGTTGGAGTGGATCAAACCATTCTTAGGGCCAAGGCACACTGCACTACACTTTGGATTCTCAGGGACTGGCCACTGTCTCCAATCACCCCTTATTCCCTTGTTCCTCCTTGAAAGGACCCTTCCCTGGCAATACTTGCACTTTTTCCTGGGTTCATACTCAGATGCACAAGGTTGGGCGTCCTTACAAGGGTCCTTCTGAGAAAAGCCACAACCTGAGAGCTCCATCACTTTTTTTAATATATATATTTTTCCCATTTCTTGCATCAGTCACAGACTTGACTGGCTCTTCCATCCAGCCTGAGAGGTCCTGGGATGAAATAGCCCTTCCCTCGCTTGTAACAGGGAGGAAGACCTTGCACTTACCCTGCTGCAAGACCTGAAGCCTTGGGACAAGGACGTTGGGGCCTTTAGCCCTGTGCATGACCACCCTCCCAAAGGGCCAGCTTTCTTCCTAGCCATAACACTGGCACGTGACACTCCTCCTGCAAGCAGAAATTATTCGGAAAATCTTGATAACAGCGACCTTGCCAGGGAAAGCATGGGAAGAGCCGCTCTTACGGCAGCCAGGGAGCTTTCAAGGCCAATCTGGAGGAAAGGCCCATCTCTGACGAGCTTTTTCGCTATTTCAGGATGGGGGCTCATAAATAGGCCGTGAGTGGGCGGTTGCACGAGGATGAGTGTGGTGGGAAGCGCAGCGGGACCATGCTTCCCACTGCCGGGCGGCTGGTGACAGCTGCTGTGCGAGGGTGGAGGAGCCATCACCATCAGCACCAAGAGGGCTTTGCGGCCCGCTGGTGGAGCAAGGATATGATGCAAAAAATGGTTTTGTAGTTATCTGGCTGCCTTGCTGAAAATGCTGTCCCAGGCAGCATCCTTCTGTGAGTTCTAATACTCCCAGGGCTGAGCTGCAGTTCAGAGGGACCTGGGCAGTCCAGAGAGATGAGAGGAGAAACTCATGAAACTCAAGAAAGGCAAATGTAGGGTCCTGCAGTTAAAAAGAAACTACTCCTTGGTACCAGGACAGGACGGGAGTGTCCTGCTGGAGAGCAGCTCTTGGAGAAGGACTTCATGCTGCTGGTGAGCAAGTTGACCAGAGCCAGCAGTGTGCCCTTGTGGCCAAGAAATCCAATGGTCTCCTGGGCTGCCTTAAGAAGAGTGTAGATTACAGATTGAGAGGGGTGATCTCTCTCTGCTGTGCCCGTGGTGAGGACACAGGTGACTCCTGTGTCCAGTGTTGAACTCCCCAGGACAGAAGAGGATATGAAAACACTGGAGTCAGTCTACCAGAGGGCTACTAACATGATAAAGAGCATGGAGCATCTACCGTATGAGAAAAGGCTGAGAGCTGGGCTTGGTCAGCCTGGAGAAGGCTGAGGGGACCTTATCACTGTGTACAGATATCTGATGGGAGGATGTCAAGAGGATGGGGCAAGACTCTTGTCAGTGGTGCCCAGAAACAGGACAAGAGGCAATGGGCATAAGCTGAAACACAAGAAGCTCAATCTGAATATGAGGAAAAAGTTTTTTTACTGTGAGGGTGACAGAGCACTGGAACTGGTGCCCAGAGAGGTTGTGGAGTCTTTGGAGATATTCACAACCCAACTGGATGTGGTTCTGTGCAATGTGCTCTCGGTGACCCTGCTGAAGAAGTGCGCCGGGACTAGATCATTTCCTGGGCTCCCTTCCAGCCTCAACCTTTCTGTGATTCTGTACTCTGTATTACTGGCCAGTTACTACTGCATCCCATGGGACCGCGTTTGGTAAGGCAGAATTTCCTGAAGCCTCAGCCCCTATACAGAGTTGGCCCAGAATCACATTTTCCCTCTTCTCCTGCTTTCTAGGGCCCCAGCCTCCAGGTTGGGAAAGCCTGCGGGCAGGAGAGAGCAGGGTGAGGGTGGGTTCACGTGCTGCTCTGCTGAGGGGGCAATGCTGCTCCCTCCTGCTCCGCGCAAGCAGCATGGAAAGGCTTGCTCACCTTGGCACGCATGGTCAGGCAGAGCACTGCCTCCACGGCAGTGGCAGTCCAGCCTTGTGTTCACTGAGTTTCCATCCAGCATTTCTTTTTTTCTTTTTTTCTTTTTTTCTTTTTTTTTTTCCCATGATACATTTTTGTGCCATTGCGGCGAGGAGACGTTCCTTGAGGCAGGGTGGCTTTAAAGGTTACCCTTGAGAGCAGAAGCATTTTTTTACTCACAGACGAGCCCTTGTCATTTGACCAGCCTCTCTTTCAGTTAAAAAAAGAAAAAAGGAGAAAAAAAATTCCAAAGCCCCTGCCAACAAGCAAGACTGGGGAGCTTGTGATTGCTAAAAAACAAATACAGAAAGAGTAGTCACACGGGCTGACTCAGCTCTGATTGGTGGCTCAGGAATGTGTCTGATACGTGCGAAGGATTAAATAAACTGTGGCAAACCTTTGCGATGCTGCATGCTCCACGTCGCATGACAGATAGGTTGTGACAGCCCCTTGCAGCTTCCTGAATATATGCATGGATTTTTCTTTTTATTTATTTTTTTTTATTTCTTCCAGATCACAGGTTGCTTGAGATATCAGGCTATGTCATTTCCCCAGCCACGTGCTTTTGCTTTCGAATGGCTGAGATCTTAAGGTGTGACCTGTTCACTAGAAAGGATCTGCCCCCTCCTTCCAGACACAGGATGACTCAGGTGAGACCTTAAAGCCTGGGCTAATCTTTCCAGGAGGCAAATAGTTCAGAAAAGAAAACCAAGAGATCAACCATACTGGATGTCCTGTGCCAGCCTGGAGGTTTCCCTGCAGGTTTGGTCCCTGCTGCCACCTGTGCCCTGAGACACTCTCGTGGCAATGGGCACTTCTTGCTTTGCTCGTGACCAACATGCACCATCATTGCATGCTCAGAAGAGCAGGAGCATCCCGGAGGAACAGCAGCTGTTTTTTGGCTAGGGAGCCAGGATGCTAAGCTGTAGTAAATGGCATCTCTTGCCCTTCTGCAACTTTAGCACACAGAGCTACTTGCCATATCCTTTCTGCATCAAGCCCCCTGCACAGGAGATGTCTACAAGGCAGGGCTAAATCCAAGGGATAGCGGGATTGCCAGGAAAATAATGCAAAGGACTTCTGCCATACCTCAGCGAAATAAAGCATCCCTAAAAGCCAAGAGATGCTGATGGTCTGAGATATAAAATAGCAGAGAGGAGACTTGGTGTGGGTGCACAGCAGTTTATTTTCACTGTGGGCTCTCTGTGGGCTGCCAGCAATGTGAGATGGACCCGCCAAGGGCATTTGCCTGCGTGTAGGTTGATACCTGCTTGTG